TAATCAATAAAATCTTCTTGCAGCAATCCATAAATGAATAATACTTATATGACTTAGCATATATATATATATATATATATATATATATATATATATATATATATATATATATATATATATATATATATATATATAACATATGGGAATGAATTCGTACAGAAGAGTGGCCAAAGGGAATAATATGACCGTTACATAAAATTGGTACTGGAGTGTAAGAACTATAGAGGCATTGCTCTGTTAGCATCTGCGTATAAAATCTTCGGCAATGTATTATTTGAAAGATTTAAAAATTTTACAAAGGATATTGTTGGTCAATATCAATGCGGATTCACTGATGGAAAGTCAATTCATCAGAACATCAAATTCAAGCGCATAGGCAGATTCTAGAAAAGTCACTAGAATATAACATAGATAGATACACGCCATTTCTTTGTCGACTTCAAAGCAGCATATGACAGTGTGAAAGAACTGCATTATATAATGCAATGATAGACTTTAGGATCCCACCTAATTTAACCAAACTAACAATGCAAAACGTCAGCTCATGCGTTTGAATTAAAGGAGAAAACCCTACGTTCTTTGACATTAATAATGGTCTAAGACAGTTTTGGAAAAGGCAATCAGACAATTAAATATTAAAATAAATGGAACTATTATTAATAGATCGACGCAAATTCTCGCATTCGCTGACGATATAGTTATAGTGGGCAGAAGTATGAGAGACATGGTGCAGTGTTTTACAAGGCTTACGGATGCGGCAAGTGAATTAGGAGTTGTGGTAAACGAGGAAAAAACCAAATATATGGTGGTTTCCAAAAACCCCTGAAATATCCAACAGAGAATTCAAATTACCAACCATATCTTTGAGCAAGTCAAAGAATTCACATTTATCATGGATCGCTAGTATACGCAACAAACACGACAAAGACTTCTTGATATTTTTGAGAGAAAAATTCTTAGAAAGATTTTTGAGGCCGTAAATGAAAATAAGCCATGGCGTCGAATATACACCTTGTAACAGTATCAGTTATACACCGATTCAGATATTGTGGAATTCGTCAAAGTGCAGACACTTAGATGGGCTGGACACTTAGCTAGAATGTCAGATCACGAATATACGAAGAGATTAATATTTTCAAAACCAGAGGGCACAAGAAGTAAGAGACGACCACGAAGGAGATGAATTGAGGATGTTGAAGAAGACCTGCGGATTCTAAGGTTCAAAAGATGGAGGGAAGTTGCCAGGAATCGACAGAAGTGTCGACTTCTTTGTAAGCAGGCCAAGATCCACAACGGATTGTCGAGCCACTTGCGATGATGATGATTATCCAACTGATTAATTGATACTAATTACAAGATAGGGCTTAGCTATTATGGCTATGAGAAATTATTAATAGATGATGTTATGCCAAATTTTACTAATTAAAAAACAATTGTTAAACAGAATTCTAGATATAGCACAATTTTCAGATCAAATATACTTTTATCCACAGTTTTATAGTAGAAACAACAACAAAGACCTCAAATAGGTCAAATAAACTATCTATCATATAAAAGATTTACGTATTTGAAACTACATTACATAAGAATATTTAAGTTTGCGAATTTTATTCAGTTTACCAACTTTAAACGAGTCTCAATAGAAATTCATATCTCGCTTTAGCAAAAGTTATTTGTTCGGTGATAAAAATCGTTTTCCTTTTTTGACAGATCAGTTGAAAATATTTAAGTATTTGAATTTAATCATGCGTGATGATTATCAATTTTTATTTATTTCGATAAACTTCATCAACTACTAATAAGGTATTAGCGAGAACTTGTTACAAACCACAATTTTATAGCATATAATAGCCGCTTGGTTATGCCTAAAATAAAATATACTGCCTTAAGCCATATCATTTAAACGATAGAGTGTAATGACTGTGGTTACAAGCAATGCCCTGGTGTATTTCTACAATTTAGGAGACGAGAGGGTGAAACTTAAATATAATCAAAATTGCTATGAAAACGAAATATGTTATCGAAAATAGATTTAATGAATTTGTATGGTTATTTGATACGAAATAACTTTTAAATATGTTTAAATATGCAGCAGTAATTAAACATACTTAAATATTAATTTTTTTACTTCAACATTAAATTTTTTGAAAGCTAAGCCCTCTTTTGAAATATCTGTCTATACAGGGTGGTCCTTAAGTAATTGTACAAATAGAAACCGCAGATTCTACACTTTAAAATATTGCGATTTAAGCCAACTTGCTTTAATAAAATGTTGATATTAAAAAAGATACAGGGTGTTAAAGTGGAAATTTAAAATTTTATTTTTCACCAAGTTTCTTGGTTAAAAAAACATTCGCGAATGGACTCAGATACCAAATGCAGGGCAATTATTCCATATTGCAGAAGAACGAGAAGCCTTCGCAATGGTGATCACCAACGTCGGATAATTCTGATATGGCACGCGAAGAAGAAGAATACAGAGAGGAGTACGACAAGGAGACACCGTCTCTCCAAAGCTATTTACGATTCTTTTAGAACATACTTGTCAGAAGACAGATCTGAACAAGGTATCAACATAAATGGAGAGAAGATTGCTGTTCTTGTTTGTCCTAATCTTTGCGTAATTTCTTCCTCTGTTGTTGCCTTTTTCGTGATTATAAACACCAAGTATTTGAATTTGTCCTTTCCTTGGATCGTTACGTTGTCATCAATCTGTAGATCTTCAATGTCTTCTTCACTTGTAGATAGGTACTCTGTTTTCACGAGATTAATATCTAGGCCAGCCTTGTGTGTGTGTGTGGTTGGAATATTGACTGCGAAACCTATGGTTTCATTCGCCTAATCATGTTTGACTTTGATTCTTAACAATGATTAAAATAAAAGCTATTAATATTTAAAATTTAAAACAATATCACTTCGTTAAAAATTCTACATTATACAATTGGTAAACTTACAAGCATCATATTTTTTATTTATTTATTTATTTATTTATTTATTTTTTTTTTAATTTTATACAATTTTGTATACAATTTTCTAGTAGAAGGTATATATATATATATATATATATATATATATATATATATATATATATATATAAGGTATAGTGTTCAGCAATGATTGCTAACACGTAAAAGAATTTTTTAGTTCAATAGCAGCACACATTGTGTATGTATTGTAGATTCGTGTCAATTTGGAATCAACAAGCATGCATATTAAGATGAATGAAATTGATTCTGTAGGTACTGGTATAGAAGCAAGAGGGATGTAGCATGCCCAATTATCGTTGGTTACAATACAAGTATAAGTAGAAATACACCAAGTGACATATGTTTTCAGCCAGGCATCTATCGCAGAGTTAAAGCGTTTGTTAGGAAAAGTCATACTAACCAATTACACCGTTGATAGAGTTTTTGGAGATTTTTGTAATGATTTTATGTTCGCCTTTAATGCTTTATTTACAACAAGAATGGTAAAAATAAATCCATTATGTATTTCTTCAAAAAAATCAACCATACATACTGAAACTGAATAGGTACTACTACTCATCATTCGTTTTACGTCTGTACGAAAGTCATACCTATTTGATAATTCCAAATTATTATTGTTAGAGAGTACAGTTAGAATAAAATAATTTGAGTCATTATGTCAAAACGTATTGGAAAGGAAATTTTTCAAAAATTTACAGTAACCATGGAAAAAAATAGTGGTTACCAGGTTCTTTCTGAAGTGGTTCAAGTACTAGCTGGGACATTTTCCGAACCACTTAATTTAGAACCATCTATTATAGTAAATTTGAAAAATTCCCCAGTTACATCAGTTGATGTCGAAAGATGTTTTTCTATTTACAAATTTATGTATTTAGATAGAAGCCATAAGTTTTTATTAGAAAATTTTGAACATCATTTGATAATCTATTGTTACCACAATTGAAAATAATATGTATATGTTAAAATAATTGTTTATAATATTGTAAGTATTTTTGTAAATAAAAAAATTTTTTATTACATGCATATTTTCTAGATACATATGCGTATTTTGCATGAAATACTACATATTTTTGCATAAAATACTGCATATTTATGCGCATATTTCATACTTTTTTATTTGCATATTTGCCTAAGTCTAGTAATGTCATTATTTAATCATGTCTTTTGAGGAGAATAATTATCTCCTTGAAAAATTTATAAGTTGGTGATGATCTCAGTAAATCACTTTAGTATTTTACTAATAATTTCTTTTTAATTCCGGCCTTAAAATGAATAATCTTGATTAATAATTGTAGTTTAAAATATTTATAATAAAACAATCAATAACATCATTATCGTTTTCATATGAAGAAAATAAAAACAAAGGAATGGGGGATGATATATGATTTGCGCACCAATACTTACATTTATTCACTCCTTGTTTCAATAAAAAGAAATGTCACTTAAAATTCTCTAAAATGCACAAATCTATTTTCTTCAATCAGATACGAAAGTCTTAAAAATTGCGTAAAACACCCTATGTAGGGCAAAATTCTATTTATATCGCCATTTTGCGCGAGGCCAATACCCTACATGGCAACAAGTTTGTTTGTTTTGGAAACAGAAGCCATATAATCCCCAAGCGATGAATAAAAATTGTCTGTTTATTTTAGACTTAAAACAGAGACCGCAACTTTCGAAAAAATCAGAAAGAGTTTATTCGGGAGTTAATTGAAAAGCGCGAACTGCACCCTCGATAGAATCCAGAAACTGCAACCGTAAACACCACTGCACACACTACTGCAACTTCAAATAATCACACATCGATTTGTAGGTAGCAAAATGTTTGTTATTCTGAGCTTGAACAGAAACGCTACTATACTTTATATGTTTGAAACAGTTAAAAATCGAATGCAGAACTATTTTAAGCCGAACCGAGGAAGTGTTCAAATACAACAGGAAGTTAAAGTAGTGGTGCAGGAACGCGCCTTCAGAATACAAAGAAGTATAATTATAACATACGGTAGTACTTACCAATTTTATTTTTTAATTTATGAACACATTATAATCACAATAAAGTTGGTACAAAAACTAACGCTGATACGTGCGTATTTACATCTGGGGAGATCTGTAAATAGATCGGCCTACTCTGCATCGAAATATAAAATGAGTTTTCCTGATTTTCACTTCTTGCTACTGCGCGTGGTTGGAACATTTCGACCCTACAACAACCCTAAAAGGGCGTATACCATTGGCGCGCCAACGGGGGCGCTGAGAGGGTTGATATATAGGTTTTTTTTTAATATCTATGTATTACATTTTTAAGAAAAGTTGTTTTTCTTTTTTTGATATCTCGCTTCCTGTATTGGTGTTTTCATCATAGTTGTTAATTTGAGGTACGTCATTCAGAATTAAATTATAGATTAAATAATATAGAATTTGACATCCTATATTTTAACGTGAGAATTAATATAGATAATATAATAGATAACAAATTCAATACACAGTGTAAAAAACTAAATAATCTAATTTGCAATAGTGAAGAACCCAATATTCATTATACAAGAAATTTTTCGAACCGAAATTTTAACAGATACTAAATTTAGTAATAGCGAGATACAACTTTTAGAGAAAGGATTTAAACACAACTTGCCTCAACATAATAATCAGAAAACTTTAGAATATTTAGGTGTAGAATGTGAAGTAGCACTAAACAAAACTGCTAACAATTTGGAAAAAAGTATAATTGCAAAATCTATAAAAGTTGTGTGTAGTGAAAGGAATCCTGTTACAAAGAGAATAAAACAGCCATTTAAATTAAATATAAATCAGTAGAAAAAAACATAGTGTTTACAAAAGCAGATAAAGGTAACACTACTATTGCTATAGATAAAATAGAATATAATAACAAAACAATAGAATTTTTAAATAATCAAAATATTGAAACGTTACACAAAGATCCGACAGAAAAGTATCAAAAACAAATTAAGCTAGTGTTAGAAAATTCAAAATCAATAGTAAATCCAACAGAACAGAAATACCTAAATATCATGAACCCACAACCTCCTAAATTATACTCTTTTCTCCTGGTTGCTTTACTGCCAAAAATACGTGCTTATTCTTCAACTATGGTTGTTTTACGATAGTCCGTAGGCGCCTGTGGTAAATACTCGACTATACAAGTGCATTTAACCATTTATCTAATTTACTAGTAGTTAAAAGTTTATAGTTATAGTTTATAGTTATAGTTAAAATATATAAGTTTATAGTTATAGTTTATAGTTAAAAGTTTAATTTATATTTAAAATGTTTTCTGGTTATTGTTGTGCGTTTCACGGATGTTTATCTGTGACAGGAAAAGGAATAAGTTTATTTAGATTTCCTAAGAATAATATCAGGTAGTTACTAATACTAACAGGTAAATACATAATAGTATTAGTTTGACTTTTGAACAGTAAGCCGACGCCGACGTGTCCGTCCGAGCTCTCCTTAAGTGGAGCAATAAAAAAATAAACTTTGGTCTGCCAAGGGATAGTTCAAAATGAAAACATTTCCATTAAAATCTCCGAAGGCTCAGGTCAAAAAATCAACAGATGAATACACAATACACGAGAATATTTTTGATTTAAACGAAACAAAAAAATTTTGAAAATGCTCAAACCAAAAATTGTTGGAAACATAATTAGACCGATAATTGGGAAAATCTTAAAATTACAACAGAACAAGACTTTAAAATTGCAACCATGTTTATAAAAACATGGTTGCAAATAAACAAACTTACATTAAATTATGAAAAAACTAAATACTCATCTACTTTTAGCTTTATACAAAAGTGGTCTGTCAATGTTTAATTCGTTAAATATAAATAACAAAGATCAAATATATGGAAATTAAGTTTTGTCTTTTGCATAAAAATACTCACTAAACTTCCATGACGTACTTTATCAGCAAACCTAAATGTATGTTTCATTTAATTGTTTCTTGTAGCTTTATATGAAACCATGGCTTGGGTCAAATATATAAAACAATTTATGATTTCCTATTTGAATGAAATTCAGGATTTTCAGGAGTAACAATATATATATATAATTTAGCTAACTCTAGAAAATTTGATCCTATATCACTTGAAATTTATACATTTAAGTTAATGCTTGATAATTTGACAACACACTCTTCAATAATAGGTTTAAGATCTCTTGATTGTATTTGCGATCGAACAAAAAAAGCTAAAGGCTGCTTTCATAAAAAATATAAGCATCTGGCCATAATGACCAAAGTATTTAGACATATTGATGATTTTTTTCATGTCCCCAAATCCAACTATTTCATCTTTATCTATATCATAAAACAGGTTAGACTTGAGGGACATTTCATCGATACATAAAATAGACTTGGCTTACATAAAATATGTTCTGTCATTATTTGAAGACTTGTGTGAGAGCAAATTGTTTTATTTATGCTGAATACCTACGCGAAATACGCGTTAAATAAATATTTTGCTCTTGTGTGTGTGTGTGTGTGTGTGTGTGTGTGTGTGTGTGTGTGTGTGTGTGTGTGTGTGTGTGTGTATGTTAGTGTGTATAGTGTATTTGTATTTAAATAGAATAGTACAATGTAATGTAGTACAAGGCAATACCAATCAACTAAAAATCGTATGTATTAACTCTGAATCTATTGTAAACAAAATAAATTGTATCGAAATATTACTTAAAACTAAAAGTCTGGATTTACTATTTGTAAACGAATCATGGTGTAATAACAATAATATAAATTCTTTTTATCTTCCTTATGCTCTCTTGTAATGATTCGTAATACTTTTTTGATTATTTTTTAGGTTATTACATTTTTATATTTATAGAAATATACTCGTACAATAGTTACTTCTTGATTTTTTATTCGTTTTAGTCGAATATAGAGTTTGTTAAATTTCCGTGGCAGTTACAATGGCTTTGTTATTTTTTGATTATATTACGAAAGATAATTTATTCGGAAATTCCACTACGAACAAATTATATCTTGTATCAACACAAGCCAAAAAGAATCGGTGTATTATTGGTCTATCAATGCAAACATCAGAATAAACAAAAAAAGTATTTTCATCTATGGTTCCATCAATACGATTTTCACCATTACTTTGCGTTGTGCGATGTATTTGAAACCTTTTGTAAATCAAAAATAATTACACCATTTCAAATGTCAACAAAAGCCGGCCTGCATGTAATTATTTTTTCAATGGAATATTTCTTATTTATTGAAAGTCAACATAAATGCTCAATTTTATTTAAGAATTTATATTGTGATATGCCCACTGACTATTAGTTTTCTGGTTGCTTAACTGTCATTGGCACTCATTGGCGGCTGTTGTCATATCAACTGTTGCAACTAATTATGCAAGGAAAGATTGAAGGTAGGCGCAGCATAGGTAGGAGAAGAATGTCATGGTTGAGAAACCTCAGGGAGTGGTTTGCTTGCACTTCCATACAATTGTTCCGAGCGGCAGCCTCCAGGGTCAAAATTGCCATGATGATAGCCAACCTTCGTAGCGGAGATGGCACGTGAAGAAGAAGAAGAAGGCGGCTTGCCACCCAATAAGACCTGTAGTTTTTTTTTATACAGCTCCGTCATATAAACTCTCAAAAAAACTGTTAGAGATTATTTTAGAACACACTAAATTTTCACCCAAATTTACCATAAAAAATACAATAGAACTAGTTAATAAAATACAACATTTTACCTTGTCGTTTAATTCTAAAATAGAATTTTTTTATCATTTTTTTCATATTTGTTTTTTATCAAAATTAAAATAAACACAATTTAGATACAAACTTGATATTTTTTTCACCTAACATGCAGGATCCCGTTACGAAACAATTTCGCGCAGCCCTGGCGTGCAGGACCGTAAGAGGAAGTGGATGACACGCATTGTGATGTTGATGTCGTGGGTGTACTAGACTGCTGGACGCCTTTAGTTTGCGTGGAGATGGAGGGATTTTAAATAAGAGGGAAGTTATACACCTGTTTGTATGGTCACGTATGTTGATCGTTGATAATTGAACATGATTATATCTTTAATTCTACATAAAAGAGTTGACACAGGACGTTCGAAATTTTGAATAAAATAGATTATTCTCATATTGTTGAAGAAGATAATGTAAGATACTTTCGAAAGATAGCTTGTATTTATCAAAAAAATATTAATTTTTGAATTTCTCGAAAAACTGGAAAAGCTTATGCAAGACACCAGAGAGATGGTGATAGTTATGCATACCACTTCTTACTGCTATCTATAATACCACAACTAGAAGGAAAAAACAAAACATAAACAAAATAGTCTTAGACCAAAATCAATTTTATGCTCTGCTGCTGCACTTTAACAGTCATCTATATAACGATAGAAAAAAAGGGATATCAAAATCTATTTTATTGAGAACAATTTCTTCAAGTTGCTCTAAATCTAATTAAGCGATCTAATTAGCCTTCTTCGGTCTATCTTTGGATATAGGTCTCCTCAATCCTTTTCCATTCTTCCCTGTCTGTTGCTACAGTTATCCACCTAGAGCCCACGTGCTTCTTGATGTCATCTGCCCATCTCATTTGGGGCCTTCCTCTGCTTCGTTTACATTCCCACGGTCTCCAACTTATAAGAATTTTGTTTCATCGGTCTTCTTTTTGTTTTATATTGTGTCCAGCAAATCTCCATTTCAATTTTGTAACTTCTTGTCTAACATCTCTCACTTTTGTTTATTTCCTTATCCACTCGTTTCTCTTTTTATCCATTAGTAGTATGTGCAACATTTGTCTTTCCATTGCTCTTTGTATTTTTATGATTTTGTCCATGTTTGCTTTTGTAAATGTCCACGTTTGGGAACCATAAGTGAGAACAGGGAGTACATTGAGTCTAACTCTTCTTTCTATCTTCTCTGTTTGGTTTTCTTTGTTAAGTTTTACAGTTTGAGACCCAGATGTATATAATCCTGAACTTGTTCTATTTCATCTTGTCCGATCCTCATTGTGATGTCTTCATCTGTATTTGTTATGATTTTGATCTTGCTGTAATTCATATTAAGGCCGATTTTTCCAACTTCTACGTCCAGTTCTTTCATCATTTCAAACAAATCTTCTTTTTTATCGGTTATCAATACGATCAAATCCT